CATCTCTTTAGCCTTCGCTGGCCACCACTGTTCGTGGTCATTGCGTAGACTTTTTCTCAATCTACTTTTAAGTTGCGCTCACTCTTCATTGTACTCAGAGCCTGCAGGGATGCGTTCACGTGCATCCATTAATTCAGAAGAAGCTGCTAATATCCACTGGCTCTTTTTAGTAACTATTTCGTAGTCAGCTACTATATTCAGAGCTATGTTTACAACAGACTGAAGATGGCACCAAGCCTGTTACGGATGAGTGATAGTCATCTGTTCCGATAACTGCTTAGCCAACTTCTCACTGAACACAGCTTTGGTGTTTTCGTTGTCCAGCAGCACTCTTAGTGGTTTTGTTGTCAAATGTTTCCTATGTCCATTGAGACGCAGGCATATACGCGCTGGGACCAACGCGTGGTCACTATCCAAACACGTACTCCAGAAGGAGTGGCAGTCTTCCACTGATCCTTTCCAGCGACGACTAATAGTAATATGGTTTATCTATGTCCATCACTGATTTGAGCTGGGTGAACGCCACGTCAGACAGTGTCTTTCTTTATATCTGAAATTTGTGCTGGCTAAAAATAGACGGTTATCTGAGCATAGTTGTAATAGGTGGTCACCGTTATCTGTTCGTTCAGTCGGGATTCCGAAAGTGCCTTTCTGTCTCATTCAGTCTACCCACCTGTGCGTTGAGGTCACCTGCAACAACCACTACGTCCGAACGTTTGGCTTTCGAGAGGAGGTTAGACAGTTTATGGTAGAACTCGTCCTTCACTTCATCCAAATCGCTGCCATTGTGTGTATAAGCAGAGATTACATAGAGACAACGGCGAGTTTCACTATTCCTTTCACTTGTCACTGTGACGTTCAGTCGGATAGCGAAGAGGCGACTATCAACTGGGATCCAGTCTATTATTGAACTTTCTGCCCTAGTGCTTAATGCTATGTCTACACTTGCAGGACCGTGAGAGCTAGCTATCGAATCTCCAGAAACTTGAATTTCGTAGATTAACCAGATTGGCTAGGAGAGGTCAGTTGACTAACCGCACCTGGGTTCTGTATGCAAGTCTCACAAACACAGCAGACATTCGTGGTCCAAGTTGCTAGTCTTGGCCAATGAAGCCTATTGACCAATTTGACAGAGGGTGCGGACATTGAAGACCTCGATGTGTAATTTGGAGCGTAGTTTAAGGAGACCATGGATGCTGTTCTGTGGATTCAGATCGTTGTCGAAGGCTGCAGAACTAGGAGAAATTGGAGATGATGTAGTATCGTTAATCGAGGGATGTGACGGAAGACTAGAAGGTAATGATGAGGGAGGTGGGTAGCAGTCTGAAGGAACTTGAGTACTGGTAGAGTTGTGCGGGTAGTTGACACTTCTCGGCTGCCCACACCGTGGAAGGCTATTTCTTCTTAAAGTACTTGAAAGAGATTTGTGACCGGAAAGCCCGTTGGACATCTGCTTGAGGCCTGTCACACGCAGCCTTTTGTATATGGTTGTTTTTAGCTTTTGCTGTTTTGGGGCCGGATGGTCGAAAAGAAACGACAAATGAACCAATACCGCAGGCCCGGAAGACCGTGAGGTATGGTGGACTGTGTTATTTTTGGAGCCGACCTTTTCTAACCCCCTCCCTCCCTTTCACTGAGAAAGTAGCATCACCGTGACACTGCTGGCCAACTAAGGGAAATACCTTACTGCTGTCACACCCCATCCAGCTAACAGCAGTACGACTTCACCCTAAGACCCCCATCTCCCCACCTTAGTGTAGTAATTTACACCACAACGGTAACTGCTTTTCGTCTAATCACTATCCAAGAGACCTTCCTGGTATGGTATGACTGCGAAGGGACAAGTGTTCCACAACCATAGCTCGTTTGGGTCATGGTGATATGAGAGCCCAACCACCACGTCAAGGTAGCACCTACCGTTCAGGAGAATATGTAGATGGTTTAGTTCTACTAGATGAAAATGCAAATGAAAAAGTGATGGCCAGAAGGTCAGGAGAGCTATCAACATAACAGAATCATGCACAAAGGAACAGCAATTGATGTCAACATATAACAAAATACAACAAACAAACAGATAATCAAACAGAAAGCATGAGAAAATGGACAGATGAAAACCCCTGATAAGATGGCATAAATCTAAGTAATGATGAATGCAAAGGTCTCCAACGCCCACTGACGTTAAGGTTTGGGCTTTCAGTTTCAGTATGGCATGGAAAGATGACTTTCAAGTCCTATCCTAACTGTGGCTAAATAAAGAGTAACTGAAATGTATCTGTAGTTCAGTCGGACTATCCTTCAGCGTTTCATCAAACGCTTCAGACATCTACTTACAGACCTGTTGGAGACATGATTTTCTTAACACCAGTCTTAACAAGCATCGTGCCTACAGGCTAGCCTATTAATAGATTAAGTAACTACCACATATTTCTCAACGCCATCACTATCTATCCAACTCACGCAGGAAATCACTACTCGAAGTCTCTAGAAAGATATCTACAGAATTAAGGTTTAATTTACGTCCCCTCATTACTGCGACCACAATGAGGTCTTTCACAAAGATTGGCTAAGAGATGGTTGTAGAGAGTAATTGCCTTCTGCTGACTTTCAGATATGGCTTCTTCAATCATATTTACTGCTACTCCTGCAGGAGCTGTGTAAGATACAATAAGGATTTATTACATACAGCAACGACAACCAATGCTATCTCACAGACACATCCATTGTTATAGTTCCTGTTTAACTTTGTTTAAGATGTAATAATGAAATTTAACTTTATGTACCTCCAGTTTTACCGGGACTGACCTATTCCGCGGAGGGTATCTGACTGACTCAGAATAGGAAGACAACATTGTCCTGTTAGCCGAAGACGCTGAAAAAATGCAGTCTTCTGAAAGTGCGGAGTAGAAAACTGAGTATTTTGGCATGCATTCCGCGTCTATCAAATGTACGGTGATGCTTCAGAACTGGTCTGCAGGTATATCCGGTTTAAGGTGGGAAGTGAAATGTACTGATCACTTACTTGGGGAGCTGCATTAGCCCGAACGGGCTGATTACTGATGAAACCTCAGTCCGGATACCTACTTCATCCCTGGTATCAGTGACATATCCGCCTGCATGGTAAAGGATGAGTAAACCGCTGAAGTATACTCTGTACTACTATATAGTTGTGAAGCAAAGCTGAAGATAGATTTGACGACACTTCTCGTCTTTGACCATAAGCTTTTTTGCAGCATTACTAACGTAAGGTGGAATTGTGGTGTGAGCGATGTCGGAGTTAGGTGAAGGGTATGAGTCAACGAGGGGGAGGGAGGGGGTTGAGAACCTTTGCTGACTTGGAAATGTCTTACGCATGCCAAGACAATCGAGCTCGACGTGCAATGCTGGCTAGAGTATAATTGGGTTACAAGAAGGTTCAGGGTAGCCAGACTAAGACATAGTACCATTCCACTAAGTCTTTGACCATTGATGTGAGTCGTGTGGAAGCTTAGACGGCCTGATTGGGGTTCTCGAAATAATAAGAATTGATGATTGGAGACCCTTGGTAACATGACTAAAAATTGGTCGCGATGGAGATGTATTCAGTCTTTGACGTCCTGGAGGAGATTGGTTCCCACTGCATGAGAGCCTTCGATGCTCTTGAGGACATCATGATAGCCACTCCATAACTCAGTGTGCTCGTGGTTGTCGTCTGGGTGACAGTAACGGAGTAGATTATTGACTCTACTCTCCAGTTGACAGTTTGGAGAGTCCACTTCCATTCCATCTGCTTTCGCAAATCCCAAGCACTTCGATGTGATACCTTCTCATCTCCTTTGCAATCTGGGCTGCCTTACTGGGTTCAAACATCGTGCGGACATTCCATGTCCCCACGTTTACTTTCGCTTTCATCGAGAGAAGACACATCGGCCAATTGGCTTCCTGAAGGCTTTCACCAACTGGCGTCATTTCGCCTCTCCGATTCCAGCGGGGAATAAGTTTGTTTTCATTTTTATATTTTGTTTGTGCTTTGAAGTTTCTTTAGCGGTTAGATTTGTTTTACGGGGTAGGGTTGCTAGCCCTATGCCCAACCTTCCCTCTTTACCCGGGCTTAGGACCGGCTAGTAACTAGTGAACTGGTTAACCAGGTGAGGTTTTACTAACTTTTATTCTTCAAATTTTTTTTCTATACACTTGTCTGGCAGACGAGAAAAGCTCGTACAAGCTGCTAAATTTAGCAGTATGCTAAGAACAGATGTATGGTAAAAGTGATATTGAAATAAAAAGCATACTCAAATTTCTGGTCGACACTTTCAGAAGACCCCACATTGTCAGCATTTTCGGTCTACAGGACAATGCCCGCCTACTCTCAATCCGACTCCCTGAGAATTCAGACTTGTCTAAGGTCACGTCCATTTGTACGTCTATTATGAGTCCCTTTTTCTATCCAGCTGTTCTTTGCATGTTGCTGTGGTGTAACAATTTAAAACCGATGGACTTCTCTGTGAGGCTCTCCGCTGATTTTGTCTGTCATCGAAAACCCGAAAGGCTAATAGCTTTCATTTAGGAAAATGGCTAAGGTAGAGTTTGATAGGGTTCACGAAAACATAGTGCAAACCAAATCGATAGAAATAACTTCTTAACGATTTAAAAACAATATTTCCAGTCTGCCATTAGTTAGATAACTGAAACTGGACAAATGAACGCAAGTCTGTGCAACTTTTAACTAGGCTTTTGTTGCTGGTCATTCATGCTGATGGCATTCGAACGTACCGTACCGCAACATCATACAGTAAATCTGAGAGTAGAGTGCGAAAGGAATGTGGGTGTTAAAAGAGAGGCTTATTCAGTGAATGACCCAACTGTTACAGACTTTAGATGAATGCGGAGTGGGTCGAAACTTACATTGATCTCAAGGTTATAGGATCTTGACACAAATATTGTTACCAGTTACAAATACTTGATAATTAAGTATTATCATTAACCAGATGAAGAATAAGTGCACGCAACCACAACAAGGAGCCTTGGCAATTCCAAAAACCTTTTTCACTAGGATTTTCTTAGTCACAAAACAAAAAAGTACACACCACAAACGTTTAGAGTTATCATCATGAGTTAAAAAGGAATGTTAGGTAGAAAACTAAATTAATGCCACTTTAATACATATATATACAACTGTAATTTTTTAAGGAGAACCTCTTTAGACCTTTAAAAACATTCCCTCGTTTCCGTGTAATTGCCCCAAATTCCTCCAAGTTGTGCTTCTTTGCCCGAAATTTCTTTATTCTGCCCCATGAATTTATCAGAACTGTTACCTTGAGTGTGGAGCCATCAGCTAAAAAAAAGTCCCACACAATAAACGATATGTACTCACACGTTTAATTAGGAATAAAAATCGCAACAATAATTTAAAACTAAAAATAAGTAGAGTCCAAAACGAAACTTTTCACGCTGCAAATAATTGTCTACATTAACGAGATAACATTAGTTGCGATAGCGTCCTCTTCGTTTATTCAATTAGTCTAGGAATCTTGACTTCATGTTTGACCTCTAAGTCCAAGCGGTTGGAAATGGTATCCGTTAGTGACGTCGCACCATCACCCCATGGCAATTTCTTAAAATAGATTATGATTGAGAGAGGACTCACTTTAATTTCTCTAGGATAAATAACTGTAAATTGCTCCTTTTCTTTCACTTCTTCTTCATGTTTATGCTCATTGCAAATCGCAGTGTAGGTTAAGAAAGCTCCAATAGGTAATGTAACTAATGTCATAACCTGAACATTTATCTTATCAGCTACAAAAAGAAATTTGAAAAGATAAATTATACAAACCTGTACTATGACCAGCATATCTGAATTGCCACAAACCATACTGCCTACGCGCAGCTTGAACACAATGTATATGTCTTAACATTTGTAACTTGACGATTCAAATAGTCGCGCAAGTCGTTCAACATCCAAAAGTAACAGCGCGAGTGGAGGAAACCAGCAGTTTTTAAGCTCTCGCTTCTAGGTCTTGAGGCTCGATTCTTTTTGTTCGGTCGTAGGTTTTCAATGGTCCTACAAATCTTTGCCTTTTTCGGCTAATAGCTTTGGAGTTAGTGACTGTCTATTTTAAGTTATTTTATTTGCAAACTGTAGCTTGGTCCACTTTGGGAGGTAACGGAGCTGCTGATACGATCAATCGACCGTTCGCAATTTCAGTTTTTATAAACAACTGGAAGTTGGTGTTAGGCGCCACCTAAAAATGCGCTGGAAATAGGGTGAGTGAAGAATGAGAAAAAGAGGAGTGAAAAGTACTAATGAAAAGATAAGTGTTGCTGCTAATGATATAGAGGAGATACTGCGGTTAAGGGATACGAGGGGAATACAGGGGTGGAAGCGCGTATCATCAGTTACTATTAACAAATGTTCGCGGTAAGCCATTTGCGCTCACGTACTCATCCAGCAGTCGTTTGAAGGAGTCGACTGATATAGCTGTGACCACTTCCCTCGACGCAGCTTTCCATAGGGCACATACTCTACGAGAGAAGAAGTTAGATCTCACCCTCGTTTTTGCCATGTGGTGGGGTATGCTAGTGGGGTTTCCATGGATTGTAGGTTTCGGACCGATAAAGTGGTCCTATTTAGGTGGTCCACTTGATGAATCGCCTTGTAAGCTGTTATCAGGTCACCTGCTTTCCTTCGATAGCTTAGTGTGAACAAGCTGAGTTGTCTGAGGCGTTGCGCATATGTTTTGTCTGTTAGCTCATCAACCAACTCTGTCGCTCTTCTTCGTACCTTCTCGAGAGGATTCGCGTCTCTCTTTAGTAGTGGAGAGGCCATCGTGTTGAACACCTCTAGGTGTGGTCGAACGTAGGTTTTAAATGCCCTAAGGACTAATTCTCGGGTTAGCGATTCAAGCTTCCTCCTTAGAAAGTGGATAATGGAGTTCGCCTTTGCTTTCATCCCCTTATAAATACCACTTGTATCCAGTATGTGATGAAGATGCCGAACCAACAACAACAAACACCAATCATTATCAACAGCAGAAACTTTAATGAGGTAGCCTCTTTCACCTATCTGGGTAGTACTGTTTCAACCACAGGCAGTGGCACAGACAAGGACGTCAGAGCAGCCAGGATCTGAAAAGCAAGACAGGTGTCTGTTATCCTGAAACCAGAATGGAGATCTACACTCAGCATGTGGAACAAGATCCGGATTTTCAACGCCAACGTCAGTCAAGTCAGTGCTTCTGTATGGCTCAGAGATTTGGCGGGTTACAAAAGGGATTTTCAACAAACTACAGACACTCATCAACAACTGCCTAGGCATGCACTGAGAAGACCGACCAGGGACATCTCGCGTCAGGCCCTCTAGTGGAACTGCGATGGGAAGCAACGAGTTAGGCTTCCGAGGCGAGGATGACATGGAGGAGATAGTGCGAGGATGAAATGAGAGCGTGTGGGCTGTCGTGAAACCAGGTTCGAAAGTTTGTAGAGAACAGAGTGCACTGGAAACTTGCTACGGAAGCCCTATGTTCCATTAGGAACCGAAGGGACAAATAATAATGGTAATAATCCAGTGTGTCAGAAAAGTTTAGTCCTGGGTCCTTCTCTGTGGATACCTTGGTGATTGCATGCTTGTTAAGGGTGTAGTTGGTTTTCATCACCTCAGTTGTGCAAAGGTAAATCACCTTGCACTTTTCCAAACTAAAGCTTAAACCGTTTGCAGCTGACCAGGACTCCAGCTACAACAGGTTGTTTTGGGGTATCCTAGGATCCTCTTAGTCGCCTATCATCCTCCACATTTTGATGTCGTCGGCGAGTAGGATGATAGATGAGGAGACTTTAGTGGGGAGGTCTTTTGTGAGTAGTAAAAATAGGAGTGGTCCGGGGATTACTCCTTGAGAAACTCCTGTTCTTGCATTCCTCTAGGTTGATCGAGTTCTGCTTACTTTAGTGCAGAATTCTCTGCCATGTAGGTATGCTGTAAACCATGCTAAGAGTGCTTCAGTGATGCCCACGTTTGCAAGTTTAGTGGACATGGTGCAGTGAGGGCGTTATCGAAAGCTTTGGCGATGTTCAAGAAGATAACGTAAACCGGTTGTTTGTCGTCTCATCTAGTAGTCCAGTCATCCCAAGCGGTCATCAAGTTTGTGGCACATGACCCGCCGGCTCTGAAGCCGTGTTGAGTGGCATGAAGGATGTTGTTTCCGCTCGGATGGTCCCAAACAGCATCTGTAACCAGGCTTTCCATTACTTCGGAAAGTGTGGGATGTGATGCCATTCGTCTGTAGTTGCACAGGTTTTTCCAATCTCCTCCCTTGAAGAATTGTGAGAGGATGGCTGCTTTCCGTTCCTTGGGGAGTTGACTTACTCCCAAAGAGTGCGTGAACAGGTTGCATATGGGTATGCCTAGCACTTCGATACGGTTGTGGAGGACCACCGGTCTTCTGTCGTCACAGCCCGGGGATCGCTCTATTCTAAGTGTTGAAAGTTTCACAGACACTTGGTTTGACGAAATCGTTACGTTCACCAGCTTTGTATCGCAGTCTCGGGACTTCGTCACATTGCTAAACGTTGACAGTGGATGTATAACTGGGCTAAGTTGCCCGTCAAATCGACTTCTCAACAATTCCGCTATCCCACTGCTGTTCAAAGGTTTTCCGGCCGACCTTGTGTTTAGGTTCAAACCCTTATTCATCAGTTCGCGTTGTGACATAGATCGACACAGGCGTTCTGGATTGTAACTTAGTTGCTTATCCAGGTTGTCCTGGAGTGTGTACCTGGCATTATGAACTCCTATATTACATAAGTTGTGTAACATCTTGTATTTGAGAAAGTCTGATTCTTCATGTGATGCACGCTACAGGTACCATGCCTTCTTTTTCCTCTGTATTTGCCCTTGGGTTGTGCGAGACCGTTTGAGAGGTGGCAGTCTTGTTACAATAATAATAATATATATTTCATACAACAAAGGTTACATGAATACAAACCAGTTTACAGGTTTGACCATTCTGGTAATGAGAAATGACAATTATGTACAGTGTTAAGCTATACATTAGATACTGTTATTAATGGCATATATGAGGTGTGTTGAAGCAGGCCCAGTTCGAATTTGAAGATTATCCGGTCATCGTTTGAATCATCCAATATTCTTGAAGGTGAGGCCGCATCACGGTCATGACCTTAAGGTGTGCGCGTTCGTCATAGGGTTTTGATGGCAACATTTTCCACTGACAAACACGATTTGTAGGATTCCATTTGAATGCAGGACTGGTTAGGTAAATCTGAAAAGTGAACAACAAAGGCGGGAAGCAGGCGAAATTTGAAACAGGAGCACAAAAATATGCAGGGGTAGATCAACCATGATACATCCGGGTGAGTTCTTTGTACCGACTGTAAGACTTACTTCGAGAAGTATCCAGAACCAACTGTTTGGAGATAAGCTTAGGTGGAAGAAGATGAAGGTACGCGCGACAGTGATGAAAGTCAGTCTGAAGCTGAAGCTATCACTACGAAATCGAGAGATTAGGGGATATTGGACCAGGTGTTCACTTGTTATATACCTATGTACAAGCGTTTGATGAAATTATGAGCACTTAAGTGCAATTCATGGTTTTTTCTAAGACGGTAACCACCCTTTATCTGGTCACGAGGGGGATGATCATGGTGTTGCCTGTTGAGTATTACCATATCGGGGCTACCGAAACTATGTTGGTGCAGAGTACTTACATGTAAGTACTGATAACAAAGGGCAAATAATAAAGAGTTACATGCTATGAAAATACACCGGCAGACAGTTCTTTTATCTCTTCGGAGTAGAGAGATTACTTTAAGGGGCGATTTTTAGGAAATAGGTGTTAAGTCGTGGGATCGGTTAGGTTATGAAGAAAAGTAGGTTACATTAAAGTAGCTACTGAGTTCACTGTTGCATATCATATCGCACCCCGCCTTCTGTTCACCCTTGGCCATTTATTAAAAAGAAATTAGATTTCAACTTAACTATTGCGTTTAGTTTTCGGTATTGCATAATTTTGCCATTGCTGTTAGTCTCACTTGTTAATTTGAGACATTCTTTTCGATTGCGCTGCAGATAATTTCGTTATTCTGTATCCAGCGTTTGTCTATCAGTAGTGAGTGCCGTTCTTGTGGCAATGCAGCCTCCAGGAATTCGTTGTTCATGAGTTGGTAGTCTGCCTTTTGGTAGCAGCGGAATGCTTATGGCTCGAATATTGGTGGTGTCTCCCTGGTTATCAGAGAGAATCGTACCAATGCTTGGTAGCTTTTACCCAGGGGCGAGGGTTGAACACATATTGTCCACCAAAAGATCGTCGTCTGGTAGAACGTAGTCGAGTGGTGATCCTTTTCCGTCCGGTCCCCATCTGGTGTTTTCCCCAACCTTCTCTGTCAGTCCCACTGCCACAAATGTAGTTCAAAGTTCGTGTTCGAAAGATTTATGGCCATGTCTTACTTCACACACCGAGTTAGGTGCTTGTGAGTTAAAGTCTCCAGCTAGGAATGCATAGCCATAGGCTGTCGAGGTGGTTGTTAAGATGGCACTAAGTAACAGTGCCCTATGTCAGAAAATATCATCTCATGTTAGAAATAACGTTTGTGTAAAGGAGGAAAAGTAAGGGCCCCAACACACTACCTTACTTTTCCTCCTTTACACAAATGATATTTCTGACATGATAAAATATGGTAAACCCTACCTGTTTGCTGACGACTTAAAAATCGTGTATAGCCTTCCCCACTCATCTCTAAGTGAGGGTTTTAATAGAATCCAGGAAGACCTGACGAATTTGTTCGCTTGGAGTGAAACATGGCAACTTCCACTTAACTCTAGTAAATGCGGAATTCTCCGTTTCAACTACTCTTATCCAAACGTCAGTTTACACCTTGACGATTCTGTGCTGCAATCTTATAACTCAGTATGTGATTTGGGTGTTTGGTATTCTCGGAACTTAACGTTTACGGAATATGCCCAGTCACTTGCCTCCAGGTGTAGGCGCTCAGTTGGCCTTTTGCTTAAACACGTACATACCAATGAGGCTAGACTGCTTTTGTTCAAGGTAATGATCCACCCAGTACTTGAATATGGCACAATCATCTTCAGCAATATGTATGCTTCGGATAGGATACTGACCGAGAATGTTCAAAGAAAGTTTACCCGCTGTGTACTGGGCCGTCACGAAGAACTTGATTATGAGGGAAGGTGTAAGAAATTAAAAATTGACCCACTTT